AATGGGAGCGTATAAATGTATTTTTCGTATCAATTTCAAATGAAAAAGAAAAAAATAGAAATATACGAATTCGAAATGCGTTTGAATAAATTTTTTGTTTATGCTCTGATCTAACGAACCATGACATAATTTCTGCCTAAAGGCAAGGTCTGAAAACAGTTATGGATTTTAAAGTTCTGGTCTGAAAACGGGTGTCAAAATGACATTTTTGGTCTGAAATAGGGTCAGGATTTAGAGAACTGGGCGCCACAACAACAATTGCTAACAGTATCCCCCAGGGAAAGTACATGTAAGTTATATTTCTCTAGTTACGTGACACTAGATAGATAAGATGTGCCCGGTAATCTCTAACTTGTAAATTTACCTTAAAGATTTTTAAATGAAAAAACCTCGGTTCTTATATAATTCTGCAGCCCAAATATTCACTAATGGCACTTTCAGTTTCTTTTCGAGGCAATTTTAGAACAGAGTTATTCATGGATTGACACAATCTGCAGTGGCCTCTTTTCTTACTTTCTTCGGCTTTCTGGCGAACTATTTTAAGAACTGCTCAACCGTTGCAAAAAATTCAGAACGATTTCGCAATTACATGAATATTGTAGGCAAAGTATCACTAATTCACTTTGTTTGAAATCATTGGTGAACAACCCTCCGGAGCCTGAGGGAAGGTGCAAGGTAATTTGACGCATCCTCTCCTCCTAGAGCCTACAGAATTCCCCATAGTTTTTAGTTTGATTAACTTAAGAGTCATCTTCACAAACATGGGTCATATGGTTTTCATAATGTTGGAGAAGAAGAGCTTCACTACTCATCTCCTCTTGACAAATCCAGCAGCTGTAATTCTCAAAGATGACAAATTGTGCATCTGCTACATCAGCGTTTCCAGTCTCCCTCTGTATTTGAAGGTTGTTTGTAAAGCCTATGCCTCTGTTAACATAAACGTTTTTACCTTCCGCTCTCTTCCGCTTGCAAGATTCCAAACGTTTACACAGACTTCTGTTTTTCCGGGAACATTTACATGACTCACCAAGGGTGTGGATTCTCTCATGCTTCCTCAGGTCTCCTGCTACAGTGAAACGCTTGCTACACTGTTTACATTCATAAGGCTTTTCCCCAGTGTGAATTCTTTCATGACTCCTTAGGTGATCTGCTCGGCTAAAACACTTGCCACACTGTTTACATTCATAAGGCTTTTCCCCAGTGTGAATTCTTTCATGAATCCTTAGGTTTCCTGCTTCGCTAAAACACTTGCCACACTGTTTACATTCATAAGGCTTTTCTCCAGTATGAACTCTTTCATGTTTCCTTAGGCTTCCTGTTACGCTAAAACACTTGCCACACTGTTTACATTCGTAAGGCTTTTCCCCAGTGTGAACTCTTTCATGACTTCTTAGGTCTCCTGCTTTGCTAAAACACTTGCCACACTGTTTACATTCATAAGGCTTTTCCCCAGTGTGAATTCTTTCATGAATCCTTAGGTGTCGTGCTTCGCTAAAACACTTGCCACACTGTTTACATTCATAAGGCTTTTTCCCAGTGTGAACTCCTTCATGAATCCTTAGGTGTCCTGCTCGGCTAAAACACTTGCCACATTGTTTACATTCATATGGCTTTTCCCCAGTGTGAACTCCTTCATGAATCCTTAGGTGTCCTGCTCGGCTAAAACACTTGCCACACTGTTTACATTCATAAGGCTTTTCCCCAGTGTGAATTCTTTCATGAATCCTTAGGTTTCCTGCTTCGCTAAAACACTTGCCACACTGTTTACATTCATAAGGCTTTTCTCCAGTATGAACTCTTTCATGTTTCCTTAGGCTTCCTGTTACGCTAAAACACTTGCCACACTGTTTACATTCGTAAGGCTTTTCCCCAGTGTGAACTCTTTCATGACTTCTTAGGTCTCCTGCTTTGCTAAAACACTTGCCACACTGTTTACATTCATAAGGCTTTTCCCCAGTGTGAATTCTTTCATGAATCCTTAGGTGTCGTGCTTCGCTAAAACACTTGCCACACTGTTTACATTCATAAGGCTTTTTCCCAGTGTGAACTCCTTCATGAATCCTTAGGTGTCCTGCTCGGCTAAAACACTTGCCACATTGTTTACATTCATATGGCTTTTCCCCAGTGTGAACTCCTTCATGAATCCTTAGGTGTCCTGCTCGGCTGAAACACTTGCCACACTGTTTACATTCGTAAGGCTTTTCCCCAGTGTGAATTCTTTCATGAATCCTTAGGGTTCCTGCTTGGCTAAAACACTTGCCACACTGTTTACATTCATAAGGCTTTTCCCCAGTGTGAACTCTTTCATGAATTCTTAGGTGTCCAGCTTGGCTAAAACACTTGCCACATTGTTTACATTCATATGGCTTTTCCCCAGTGTGAACTCTTTCATGATTCCTTAGCTGTCCTGCTCGGCCAAAACACTTACCACATTGTTTACAATCATAAGGCTTTTCCCCAGTGTGAACTCTTTCATGTTCCCTTAGCTTTTCTGCTAGACTAAAGCACTTGCTGCACTGCAGGCACTTAAAAGACATTGACTTTGTTCTTCTTGTAGCGTGTTATAGTTGCGGTACTCTTTGGCAGGAAAAAGAAACATTCTCAGGTAAATGCACAATGATATTTTTTTTTGGTGCCCCAACTTTGTAGCAGGGGGTGCAAGATCTGAAGGTTGTTAGGGAGATGTGAAAAATTAGAAAACTTTAGAGATACCTGCCTATGAAAAAGTGGTTTTAGACCTGTCATAAACTAACTACATACCTATATGTACAACTTTACATGACCCCTTCAACATGGAGAATCCATCAACAGGGTTAATTTAATAATTTGTGACTTTGTATTTGGATCCGAGACTTCCCTGTTCTTTGTAAAATAACACGCATTTATAAATGGTAATTAAGGCTCATCATGCAGCTTTAATACGGAAAATATTGGAACCTGTATTACTGTAAATCCCCTATAAACTCCCTTAGGGCTTATTTCGTTTAAAGGATGTTTAACAGAGAGTAAGGATTATTAATTGAGAGGGAGGGTTATTTAATTTAGTGAAATGCATCACCAAAAGCAAAGAAAAAAAAGAAGAAAAAAGGCAGGCTAAAGAAACGGTTGCCTTTTGCCGATCAACAGCATCATCTGGGGTGAAAAAACAGTATTCCGCATGGTAATATACATGATGAAAAAATTGGTGTAAAGCAAAATGTGTGAAAAGCGTAATAATAGGGTGGAATGTACCAGAGGTATAAAAATAAAAACTTCAGCGAGTGCCTCTCTCGAAAGGCATAATGATAGTCTTTAAAACAAAATGTACACAAACTCGTTGCATTCCTCACGTTAGGTTAGGCCTGTCTCAATGTAAATCCATCTGAAAAAGAACACGCTGGTTGATAAAATCCCTTGAAAGACAAAAATAAATTCTGGTTCTGATAAACGTTTTGAGAGTATAAGCCTATTCATTGAACAGCTACCACTTCAAACTCAATTTACAAAGGGAAAGAGAACACTGAAAACCAGCTGCAAGGAATAAGCTTGCTCCGACAAAAATTTGAGCTTACAGCCCTATTCCATGATCAGCTGTTGCTTTAAATGTTAAGTATAAAGCAAACGTGAGCACTAATAGCTCTTTCAAACAAGAAATCCTATTAAAGCTTTCTCTCACATTAGATCTCCAGGAGCAGATAATGATCAGTTTTACACTGGATCATTTAATCTCGTACCAGGAGTTGTAAATAAAAGACCATGTCATGATTGCCCAAATATGGGGTCTTACTTACAATCAAATATGGTCAAAAATTCAAATTATAGAGGAAGACACAGAATTATGAATCTGCAGTTGCCTCATTGGCAATAACATACATTTTCAATATTGGTCATTAAGGTTTATCATGCAGCTTTAAATGTGGCAATAGAAATCCTCTATAAAGCTCCCTGGGGGCTTATGTTTTAAGCATGTTTAACAGACAGGGAGGATTATTTGATAGGAAGGTTACTTAATTTAGTGAAATGCATTACCAAAAGCAAAGAAAAGGGAGGGGAAGAAGCAGACTAAAGTAATGGTTCCCTACTTCCTGTTTTGGACCTGGAACAAACAAACATCAAACAGAGGCCAGAAGATGATATCAATTCTGTATAAAACGAGTGGAATGCAAATTGGAAACACTTAAGCACATGAATTAAGTTGGAAGTTAACCAGTTGAAGATCAAAAACAAATTGCAACTTCTAGCACATGAATAAGTTATACCAGATCAGGAGTGATTTTGTTACAAATAGTTATGGTACAGTGTACGTCCTGGGACTCATCTTGTAACAAATCATGAGTCCCAGTTCAAAACACAATGAGATCTAAGGGATGGTTCATTATTTATGGGAATGACCAGGTTGGGAAAAAACTGAAAGGGCCTTGAAGATTTTTCTTTCTGTGGCAACGGGCTTTGTGGGTTTTTTTTTAACAAAGAGATTGGGCTGTAAAAAAATATCAACTTATGCTAAAACTGTGGTAGAAACGCGACAGTTATTTGGTGAGACAATACACGGAAACTGTATTGGTATTGAAATACACCCAATAAATTGCGGTACAGGGAGAGAGTAGATGATGTGCCGGTGTTAAAGGATTTCACAACTGCTCTCCCTGCTGACAAAATAATAGCTGATAAGGAGTAATCTTAAGGAATACCAATCTGCGACTCAGAATAGGAAATCATGTGCCCCTGGAAGTGCGAACATTAAAAAAATTCTACAATTCACCAATGCCCATTACAAAATTGGTGAGCTCTTTGTGGAGTATTTGTATGGTGACTGCTCTACCGTGCATGATCACTGAATGTTGTTCGTTTTCTTCTAACAAAGGATGGACAAGCCCTGTGCCCATGAAACATATTCCCCAGCCTGTGCCAGATCCTGAAAATCCTACCCATTTTAAATCGGTCAATGAGACACCAACTACCATAGAGAAGGGCAACCTCGAGTGCCAGATGATTTTCAACCACGTGTAAAAATAAAGCAAATGTTTAATGCAGGCATGTTATCAACAGAAGAAGAGATGCATCAGTTTTCAGAGAATTTTGCCGTAGAGATGCACTTGATCAAGACATACAAGTATATTGCTCATCTAGAAGATCTCAAACAACAAAGCAGTATTTTCAAGAGAACAAGGGGGCGCAAAGAACAAAAGCATAAATTGGCGTCCAAAACATTTAAAGAATATGCCTGGCACCATCTCGTGGAGTCTGGAGATTCACAAAAGTTGCTCGTGTTGAGCTCAATAAATAAAATTATCTTAAACATTACAAACTCATAAGCAACGGCACCAAAGCTGAAAAGATAAGGTGAACATTGTTGCGTGTGCTTCATGGTGAGGATGATCAATGGGAAGATATAAATGAGTCTGCTGACGAGGAAGCAAAGGAAGGTGGAATGGAAGACGACGGCAAAGAAATTGATGGCTCAGGGGACTGATGAAAGTGAGGAGGATATTGTCCTTGGAGAATGATTTTAGTAAACACAACTGATCATGTTTAATAGTCGAAATCGAAAATGCTTACTGACAAAAAATATTCCCGCGTCTCGGGTTACTTGATGGTGCAATAAGATCACGTGACTACAATATTACGCAGACATCAATAAATTAACATAAATTATATAAAAATGTTCACAACACTCCCCAGGGTTGCATCACGACTTCGTGATAAAACGCTTTGACTCAACAGTATAAATCTTGAATGTCCACTATTCAGTAAATGTCAAAAGAGCTTCGTCGTCTACAAAGTTCACTGTTTGAAAAGACACAATTTTGAATTCATCTCATATACAGTTCAGTTCAATGTTCACTCAGAAACTTCAACAGGAATTAAGTCCTGTATCACTCTACGTAATACTTGTGGCTTTCGATCCCCTTTGCCAGCAACCTTGACCTTTGCTGATCGAATCTGACCATCTCTACCCGGTAACAGTTCTTGAACCTTTGCCAGTTTCCAAAATGTTCTTTTCGTCAGATCAGACTTCACGATCACAATGTCACCTACTGAGATTGGGCTCTCCTTGTTTTGCTTCTTACATCTCTCATTAGAGCGCTCTCGTAGACTCAAAAGATACTCGTGCTGCCATCTCTTGGTGAACTGATGCAGTAATCGTTGGTGATGCTTAGCTCTCTTTGTCAAGGTCTGATTAACACTAACAACTTCGAAATGCTGGTTACTTGGTGCACTAGTAATTCGTCTACCAGTAATTAGATGAGATGGCGTAAGTGGAGTGGAAACTGACTCTTCATCATCATAGACATATGTTAACGGTCGTGCATTTACGATTGCTTCGATCTCCACCATTGTGGTTTGTAGCTCATCATAGTTTAACGTAGAGCGTCCCACTGTTTTCTTCAATGGTTGCTTCACAACTTTAACCATCCGTTCCCAAACCCCCCCCCCACCAAGGAGCTCGCTCAACGATAAAGTTCCATGTGATGCGATTGTCAGTTAAGTATCGCGTAACCTCGTCTGATTGTATGATCTTCCTTATATCTTTGGATGCGGATCTGAAGGTTTTGGCATTGTCAGACAGAAGGGTGACTGGTAATCCCCGGCGACTAACGAACCTACGAAAGGCCAACAGAAATGAAACAACGCTCAGAGAAGGCGTCAGTTCCAAATGAATCGCTCTCGTGGACGCGCAAGTGAATAAACAAATGTACACCTTGTCGGAGCCCGTTTCTTTTGAAGACTTTCCATCACGTATGTACAAAGGACCTATGAAGTCTAATCCTGTGTGGGAAAACGGCGGGTCTAGAGACACTCGTTCCAGTGGTAAATCTGGAGTCGGTGGTGGTCTGTATGGAGCTCTTTCTACTCTTCTACAGATGGTACATTTTCTTACAATTTTCTTCACAACTTCTCGACCTCTTGGTACCCAGAATCGTCCTCGAATAGTGGTTAAGGTGTCCTTGATACCACTGTGTTTAATCTTGGAGTGCACATCCTGGATGATGAGACTAGTTAGTGGGTGTTTAGACGGAAGTAAGATTGGATTCTTGCTTTCTTCAGAGAGCGGTGCATTGTTTACTCTCCCCTTGCATCTGATGATTTGTTGGTTGTCAAGGAACAAGTTGAATTGCGTGACATAGACGGGTGGAAATGTTCTCCTTTTGCTTTGAAGAAATTCGAGTTCTTTGGCAAATGAGGCTTTCTGTACAGTCTTGATCCACAGCATTTCAGCTTGATTTAACTCTTGAGCATTAAGTTCCCTTTTTGACGAATGTTCTGGTAGCTTGTGAGTTTCACGGTTTGATACACTGTTCTTCGCATTACCTATGAACCGTAATAGGTAGGCTGTCACGCGGAATAATCGTGTTACACTGCAGTATCGTTCAATGTCAATGACTTGACTGAGATTGATTGAATGGTCTTCTGACTCTGTCGTGACCAGAGAGTGCGTGACACTCACAGGGCTTTTTAGAACTTCTTGAAGGGCTTCTTCGTCATCAGACAAAGCACTTGTTTGGGGCGACTCAGGCCAATGTTCTCTCACTAACTTCAGAAACTTGGGCCCATTCCACCATGTCTGGTTTTGTGCTAATTGCTCTCCTCCGCATCCTCGTGATGGTAGATCAGCGGGGTTCAACTCCCCGGGACAGAAATTCCAGTTGGCTTCGTTAGTTAGTTCTCGTATCCTGCTGACCCGGTGTTGTATGTAAGGTTTCCATGCTTTGGCATTTTTTATCCAACACAGCGTGGTGAATGAATCGGTCCACAAAAATGTTCCTTCAATTGGAAGAACGGATTGTAACGTTTGCTGCGTTGAGTGAACTAGTTGGGCTAGCAATGCAGCTCCTAGCAGTTCCAACCTGGGAATTGACTGACGTTTACTCGGCGCTACTCTCGTCTTGGATGTCACGATGTTGACTTGGATTTCACCATTGCTGAATGCGGTTCTCAGGTACACAACAGCTGCATAGGCTCTTTTCGACGCATCTGAAAATCCATGGATCTGATAGGAGCATACTGCTGACTGCGCTGGTGAGTAATTGGCATAACATCGGGGAACTCGAATGTTCTTCAGAGCATTTAGGTCATTAATGAACGTTTTCCACTTCGCTAAAGCTTCTCCTTCCAAGTTTTCATCCCAATTGACCCTCTCAACACATAAATCTTGAAAAAGGACTTTCATGCTTATTGTAAATGGAGTTAACAGTCCAATCGGATCAAAGATTTTGGCTGACAGTTTCAAAACACATCGTTTGGTAGCTGGAAGGGCTTCTGCGTACTCAATCAACTCAGAGAGGTCATAGCGAAATTCATCTCGAATGACATCCCAGTAAATCCCGAGAATCTTCACCAATTGCTCTGTTTCCAGTTTATCATCTTTGGCACTCGATGACTCTTCTTTCTTGAGATTTTGTGTACTTTCACTTTCTTTGGGAGGGGATTCCCAAACTGACGGTCCTCTTCTTTCTTCATCCTGCTTGATTTTTTCGCGGAAGGACTGACAGTTAGAATTCCACTTACGTAGTGAGAATCCTCCATCTTTCATGATTTCCTGTGCTTTGTCGTACAAGTTCACAGTTTCATTCTCGCGAAACACTCCTCCTGCCAGATCATCAACACAGAAGCTGGAACTTAACAAAGATGTTACTTCTGGTTCCTTTTCTTTGTACTTGGACAGATGGAGTTTTATGGTACTTGCCAGGATAGCTGGACTTGGAGTTAAGCCAAACACAAGCCTTCGAAACTGGTATTGCTTGATTTGCGGACGATCTTTCTCAATGTCATCGAACCATAGATGGAAGGCCTTTTCGATGTCAGCTACTACAGCAATTGGATACCCTCGAAACTTAACCACAATATCAATAGGTGTGGCACTAAGTTTGGTCCTTTCTCTAAACACTCGTTAATTGAAGCAGTTGACTTGTCAGATTTGGCTGAACCATCAAATACAACTCTCAATTTTGTAGTTTCCCGGTTCGACCGAATTACGCCATGATGAGGTAAGAAATGCATTGGAGCTTGGTCGTAGTTGTGTTCTGGTACGGCTTCGATTATCCCGGATTTGACTTGATCCTTGATCACATTGTCATAATCTCTCAATAGTTCCTTGTTTTTCTTCAGTCGCGAGTGAAGCTGTCTCAATCTTGTAACACACAATTCGTACTCGTTTGAAGCAGGAACAAGGCCTTCCTTCCAAGGCAGACCAACTTCGTATCTTCCTTCATTCTCATTGAAATGAATACTCTCCAGGAACTCTCCACCATCTGACTGTGACACGGGTGGCTTCTCTCGTACCCTAATGACTCAATGTCCCAGAATTTCTGCAAGGCATTACATAACTCATCGTTCTCACTATGACTGATGTCAAATGGGCTCAAGGTCATCAATTCCGGCCTCTCTATGATGAGATTTGTAGTTGCAAACTTCTCTCTTGATTCTTCAGCACTTGTGGGACCAGACAAGACCCATCCGAACATGCTGCTAACTGCTACGGGACCACTGCAGCCACGAATGACATCCCCAGACACAATATCGAAATAATAATCGGATCCAATTAGCACATCTATGTCCTGTTGACCTGTTTCAGCAATGCTCATGTCAGCAAGCTCGAGACCTTGCAGATGTACGTGATTGTCGATGTTAACTTTAGCTGACACCGCCGAGCAAATCTTCGGGAAACATAGTGCAGATATCTTGATTTCTCCTTGAGATCCTTGCAACCGCAAGTTCACAACATCACATTGCTGCTTCGTATATCTTTCGTCTCCAAAGGTGTTAAGATGCAATGTTTCTGACTTGACAGGGGACAGATTAAGCCTCGATTTTAATCTGGTTGTGATGTAGGTGCGTTGACTTCCGGTATCCAAAAGTATTCTAACTGGTGCGGCTTTAGAACTGACAACATTGACAGCCATGGCTTTCGCTGTTTGAAAGAGCACAGTTCCCTTTGCCTTGTTGCTCACTGTTGTTGTTGTCGTTGTCTCTTCGGCTGAAACTTCTTTTGGTTTCGGTTTCCCTTGGTCAAGCATTGAACAAATCGACTGATGATGCCGCTGCTGGCAGTGTCGGCATTTTTTGGGATTCGTGCAGTCTTTCGCACAGTGATCAAAACGCAAACAATTGAAGCATCGTTTATCCCTTTCCAAAATACTTCTTCGTTGAGCGGTATCTTTTACCACACCACATGATGCAGAGTAATGCTCGTTTTGACAATAGGCACATTTGATTTTGAAGTTCCCACCTTGCTGAGAGACGAGTGAATTCGCGGTTGGCGTTTGATTTCGAAACTTTGAATCACGGCCGGGTGGTTGAACTTTCCCGCCTTCGCTTGTTTTCGCCATGGTCATCTCGCTTGCTTCCCGCGCTTCGACTTCAACCTTTATCACGTTTAGCAACTCCTCCATTTTCCATACAGAATCCTTAGAGTTCCTGGCTATCTGCAATCGAATCTCAGATGGCAACTTTGACATAATAACAGGAATT